AAATCTTAAGTACCTTTTGAGACATGTATACAACATATTACCATCACCTCAAGTAAGATGTAAACTATTTCTTTCACCTCAGACAAATGCCCACCACTCGTGTGTCAGTTTGTCGTACTATGGTAGTTGGAACAAGGAATGTACAAAGTATGAATCTAGGAAAACTGGAAATTGTAAAAAATGAAATGGAACACATAAACATCAGTATCTTAGGCATTAGTAAGCTGAAATGGACTGGCATTGGCCATTTTGAATCTGACAACCATATGGTTTACTATGCTGGAAATGACAATTTGAAGAGGAACGGTGTGGTATTCATTGTGAAAAAGAACATATCCAGATCAGTCATGAGTTATAACACTGTCTGTAATAGGATAATATCCATGCGCCTATAGGGAAGCCCAAGGAGCTCTGGTAACGTAGTGGTTACGAATCAGACTGTGAACCGCAAGGTCAGCAGTTCAAAATTACCAGGTGTTCCACGGGAGAAAGATGAGGCTTTCTGCTCCCGTAAAGAGTTACAGCCTCGGAAACCCTTTACGGGTTCTCGCTATGAGTCAGAACTGACTCCACGGCACATAACCACCACAGGCAAGCCCAGTTCATATCACTATTATTCAAATTCATACCCAAACCACTAAAGCCAGTGAGGATGAAACAGAAGAATTCTACCAATGTCTTCAATCTGAAATTCATCAGACATGCAATCAAGATGAATTGATCATTAGTGGTGACTGGAATGCAAAGGTTGGGAACAAAGATGAAGGAGTAGTAGTAGGAAAATATGGTCTTGGTGATAAAAATGATGCTGGAGATCACATGATAGAATTCTGCAAAAGCAATAAATTGTTAATTTCAAATGCCTTCTTAGACAACATAAGAGATGACTATACACATGGACCTCACCAGATGGATACACAGAAATCAAATTGACTACATCTGTGAAAAGAGATGATGGAAAAGCTCTATATCATCAGTCAAAACAAGGGTTAGATTGTGGAACAGACCATCAATTATTCATATGCAAATTCAAACTGAAGCTGAAGAAAATGAAAACAAGTCCATGAGAACCAAAATATGACCTTGAATATATCCCGCCTGAATTTAAAGATCATCTGACGAACAGATTTGATACATTAAACACTAAAGACCAAATACCAGAAGAATTGTGGGATGACATCAAGAACATCATACATGAAAAAAGCAAAAAGTCATTAAGAAGACAAGAAAGAACGAAAAGATCAAAACGGATGTCAGAAGAGGCACTGAACTTGCTCTCCAGTGTAGAGATGCTAAAGCAAATAGAAGAAATAAGGAGGTCCAAGAGCTGAAGAGAAAATTTCAAAGATTAGCTCGAGAAGACAAAGTTAAATATTACAACAAAAGGTGCAAACATCTGGAATCAGAAAACCAAAAAGGCAGAACACACTCAGCATTTCTCAAGCTGGAGGAACTGAAGAAAAAATTCAAGCCTCGACTTCCATTATTGAAGGATCATCTGGGCAAATTATTGAATGATGCAAAAACATCAAATGAAATGCAAGGAATACACAAAGTCACTATGCCAAAAGGAAATGGTTGATGTTCAACTGTTTCAAGAGGTAGCATATGATCAAGAGCCAATGAAGGAGGAAGTCCAAGGTGCATTGAAAGAATTGCCAAAGACCAAGATCCAGGAATTGATGGAATCAAAATTGAAATCTTTCAAGAAAGTGAGGTGGCACAGGAGACACTCATTCATCTCTGCCAAGAAATTTGGGAGACAACTATCTGGTCACTGATTGGGAGAGATCCATATATGTGCCCATTCCAAAGAGAGGTGACCCAATGGAATGTGGAAATCATCAGACAATATCTTTGATAGCCCATGCAAGTAAAGTTTTACTAAAGCTAATACAGAAACAGCTGCAAGCATACATTGACAGAGAACTTCCAGAGGTTCAAGCTGGCTTCAGAAGAGACATTGAATGAGGGATATCCTTGCTGATGTCCAATGGATCTTGGTTCAAAGCAGAGAATATCAGAAAGACGTTTACCTGTGCTTTATTTATTTATTTATTTATTTTACCTGTGCTTTATTGACTACGCAAAGGCTTTCGATTGTGTGGATCATAACAAGTTATGGACAACATTGCATAGTATGAGTATTCTGGAACACTTAATTGTGCTCATGAGGAATCTGTACCTGGACCAAGAAACAGTTGTTTGAACAGAACATGGAAACACTGAATGGTTTAAAATTAAGAAAGGTGTGTGACAGGGTTATATTCTTCACCATACTTATTCAACCTGTATGCTCTGCAAATAATCTGAGAAGCTGGGTTATATGAAGAAAAATGTGGCATCAGGATTGGAGGAAGACTCATTAACAACCTGAGATATGCAGCAACCTTGGTTGCTGAAAGTGATGAGGACTTAAAATACTTACTGATGAAGATAACAGAGCAAAGCCTTTGGTATGGATTGCATCTAAATGTAAAGAAAACAAAAATCCTCACCACTGGACCAATGAATAACATTCTTATTAATGGAGAAAAGATTGAAGTTGTCAAAGACTTCATTCTTTTTGGATCAACTATCAACACTCATGGAAGCAGCAGTCAAGAAATCAAACAACGTATTGCATTAGGCAAATCTCTTGTACAAGACCTTTTTAAAGTGTTGAAGAGCAAAGATGTCAGCTTAAGGACTAAGGTGGTGCCTTACCCAAGGCTTTCATAAAAGAGATGCCTAGACTTTTAAATGTTGGCAAAATGAACTACTGTGCAAGGAACCAAAAACCTTTGGTCTTAGAATCAACACATTTTCTTTGTTTTGCTTCAATAGCTTTGATTAGATTTTTAATGAAAATCTGATAACATGAGAGAATTAGCTATCATTTTTTGGCACTCACTGATGTGGTGCTGTAGGATAAACACTGGACCTCAAGGTTGGTTTGACTTGCAAGGTCGGTGGTTCAAAATCAGCAGCCACTCTTAGGAAACCCTAAACAGGGTTGCTATGAGTAGGAATAGCCCCAACAGTACTTGAATAACTAATATGCCGAAAAGACCCCTAGTGATATACTGGTTAGGGGCTCAGCTACTAACTAGACGTTCAGCAGTTGAAATTCACTAGCAGATCCTCCTGGGAAAAAACCCATAAAGATTACAGCCACGGTCACCCTATTGTTGTTGCTGTTGTTGTTAGGAGTCATCAAGTCAGTTCTGACTCAGCAACCGTATTCACAACTGAATGAACACTGCGTAGTCTGTCATCATTCTCACAATTGCTATTGCCACTGTGGCAATCGATCTCATTAGGGCTCTTTCTCGTTTTGCTGCCCTTCCACTTTACCTAGCACAATGTCCTTCTTCAGGGACTCGTCCCTCCTGATCATAGGTCTGAAGGATGAGAGACGAAGTCTTGCCTTCCTGTTTTCTAAGGAGCATTCTGGCTGTATTTCTTTCAACACAGACTTGTTTGTTCTTCTGGCAGTCCATGGTACTTTCAATATTCTTCTTCAAAGACTCTGAACCTAAAAGGTTTACGAATCTACCTCTCAAGGTGTAGGCATTTCTTCCAAAAATAGCTGTTCCGTAGAAACACCTTCATCTGTCTGTTGTTACGTGTCATTGAGTCAGTTCTGACTCAATGAGACCTTCTGTAGGATTTCTGAGGAGCAGCTAGTGGATTTGAACCAGTGACCAGTCTAGTGCTTATCTTACAGTGCTACACCAGGACTCCTTCATTGGTTTAGGAATTCATGTGTGTTGTTAACACCAACAGGATGTCTTAAAAACTATTTATTTCTCACTGAAATATGAGGGGACTTCAAAAACTTTGTGGAAAAATTCCAGTATCTTTTAACCCCTTATTCCCACAAATTTTTTGAATACACCTTATCTTTGAATTCAATTGAAAAATCCAAACTCTGGTGGTGGTGACCGCGGCTATGTGCATGGAGTCTGTTCTGACTCACAACAACCGTGTGTAGGGTTTCTGAGACTGTAAATCTTTACAGGAGCAGAAATCCTCATCTTTCTCCCATAGAGTTGCTGGTAGTTACTAAATGCTGACCTTTCAGTTAGCAGCCTGATTTATAACCCACTATGCTACCAGAGCTCCTTAAACTGAGGCTATATGCAGATGAAAAACATGACAGGAAAAATCAAGAGACTTGTTAAAGGAAGTGGGTACATTTCTTTAAGTGTGGTCAAATATTGAGTGAGTGAAAGTGGACCCAGAGGTCAACCATGACCTGGTCAAGAGAAACCACGGTGAACATTACAGTCCACCAACCAGCTGTGGAGAGAACCCCAAGTCAAACCTCTAAGTTGTGGCCTCACTTTTGAATGAGTTACTTGGCTGCTTTAGCATCGTCCAGCTTCAGCTTAGGTAGTTGTGGTTCCGTGGTAAAATTCCCGCCTTCCAGATGGGAGACTGGGGTTTGATTTCTGGCCCAGTGTACCTTATATGAAGCCACCACCTTCCAGTAGAGGCTTGTGTGTTGCTAACACCCTGAACAAGTTTCAGTAGAACATGTAAACTAAAACATACCAGAAAGACCTGGTGATCAATTTCCCAAAATCAGCCATTGTCGACCACAATGATCTGATCCCATTACTCATGAGTCCACCATGTGTCAGAGACTGACTGGATAGCACCTAACAACAATTACAGCCTAGAATCTGACTATTGTAAGTTTCTGCTCACTTAAATTTTATTTCTGCACATTGCGTTATGGCAGTGAACTGGGAGAAGACAGATGGAAAGCACACTATGGATGGAATTCAAGTCCAAGGTCTTAATTATCTGATGACTGCCTCAGAAAGCACTGTGTGAACAGAGGAAGGAAGCTTCCACACATTTTTGTCAGGCATAGAATTCTGAGCTTGAACTCTGTATTATGGGGGATTGACAGAATGTCTCTGGAATTTAGAAAGCCCTCTTTACTACTGGTGAATCTTAACGCGTTTTCCTCACTAGAAATTAATTTAGAATTAGGCCATCTGATATGATTTTAGAGATAGCTATGAGTCAGAATCTCACGTTAGAGTAGTTTTACAAGTCCCCAGAGATAGTAACCCTTGGCAACAAGAGATGATGTACGGAGGAGGGCAAAGATAACCAGTCCTGTGTTCTTTAGCACACTTTCAAACTAGAGACTTTTTATTTTCTCTGAGACCTCATGAAACCAAGAGTGAATTTGTACCTTTGGATTTTTAGAGAATTTCTATTGAGAGGATCATCTGAAGTTAAACTGTGTCAAGAGGGTGCCTAGAGATTTGGTGTTAAATTTCAGATGTATTTTTCTTAAATTTTCATGGATTTTACTTGGGTTTAGAAGGTGTGCCTTTATATATAGAATTCTGGTTTCATGCTTCTTTTCCATTATTCATTACACACTGAATGATTCTGGTGGGTGTTTTACAGATATTAAATGATTCACTCATCATAAACTTTTTATGAGGCAGGTATATATCATTCTAAAAGTGAGGAAACTGGGGCACGAATAAGTCATGTAACTTGTTCTAGGTAAAAAACCTTAAGGAATGTTTATAGTGGAATTAGAAATCACTCTACTGGGCTCCGGAGTGAAACTTGAAGACTCTAATGATCTCATGTTGAGCAAATTGATTTGGGGGGAAGGAGTGTTCGAGGAGAACAGGAGAGATACAGAATTTCCAAGATCCATACCATCATTTGGCTATGGCAGCAGGACCTAGATGAACTATGAGTTTCTTTGAATCCTTTGATGAGAGACAAAGATTTAGGAGATTTTAGCAAATTCATGAGACTTTGAACATTTGAAAATTAGGCTACTCATTCTTTTTTTGTAGTGTTGCTCTGTGTTATATTAAAGGAGAGATTGAGGATTTCTGAGCACCCATTGAAACCACAATTCCTCACCATATTTCAAGTTCCAGATTGGTGCTGTTGACATCTGGGTCATCAAAAGCACAGGTCAGTGAGTGATGGGATCCATTCACTTCCAACTGACTGAAGCATGAGAATGAGTAGTCATCAGGTTCTGCATCTTCCAACTCTCCTGAGAAGGAACAAACCTGTAGCTGTTAATAAGCAAATGAATGCGTCCTTTTGGAATCTGTAGTGTCATTAATAAGATGACAGACCTCAGTACCAGGCATAAAGGAGTAAATCTATTTTATTTAAAGAAGGAATGCCAAAAGGTAAGGGGAAGAATTAAGACTTAACAAATCAAAACAAGAACTAAGGTACAAAGTTTTCTAGTAGAAGCAAAAGTTCATCACAATGAATAAATAACCTCTAAAGAATGTTCCCAATGATTTCTGCCATTGAGACAGTGCATTCATGATCTAGAGTGAATAACTCAGCACATTCTTTCCTTTCTTTAAGCTGGAATTTATTCTATTAGTTTGTACAAATCAGAGATATGTTATATCCATCACTCATATGCTACTGAATCAAATCCGATGCATCTTTATTGATTTCCTTCCAAATATTGGCTTTTCACATGAAGGAAGATGGTAGATATTATTCAGTTAGGAGTTTGCATTTTTGAGGTGTGGCTTTCACTTAATTAAGACATTCCCATCTAAAAAAGTAGCATTTATTACTTCCATTGTGAAAATACTTTTTAAAAGACAACTTCTCTTAAGATACTGAGCTAGGCAAATGTGATTAGATAAAATTAGCTTTGATAGAATTCAGATCTGGTGGACTTTCCAATAGATTTTACTGATATTGCTTCTGTTTCTGGTGAGATTGGAAAAGTCTGTCAGCAAACATAAACCGATTAGGATCTTAGAACATTCAGAGAAGTAAAAAGAATTCTCAGAGTGGTTCAGCATGAACCTATGGTTGCCTTTGGGACTTGGCCCAACTGTACCAGGAATTAGATGCCCTAAGGGCTTTCATTTGATCCAGAACATACTGAAATCACACCCCAACTGAATGTCCCAAAGAACCTGGGATGTCCAAACAGCACTCTCTGTATTTAATAGTTAATGGGCACCAGCAAAACAAAAGAGTTCCACTGACCTTAGTTGTCCAGTGTGGCAAAATGAGTTTGCTGTATTTTCCTGGTCATAGATGCCCTGTTCACACACTTTTTCTTGTTCTTTAAGTGACTGTATTTTAAGAGGCAGCTTGTTGGTTCTGTAGCAGGCGTTACAGGGCAGGGTTGCTTTGTAATCAAGGAATATCCCACCAAAAGCTTGAAAAAGCTTATGCCATTTTACAAAAAGAATGTTATACATGAATTAAGCTAAAACATTCTTAGCTAAGAGTAGTGGAGTACAGTTAGGACTTTTTATGCCAGAGCTCGATAGATGTAGTTTTAAATTCTTGTTACGGGTCTTCGGTGAAATTACTGAACTTCTCTAAGCCTTAGTGTTCTGATATGTGACATCATCTTATGAGGAATCATGGAGAGCAAACACATACAACTTACCCTAGCACACAATAAACGCGTTAACAAAGGTTAGCTAAAACATTCAGCATAATATTTGAGAAATAAGTAATGAAATGGTAAATTAAGAATTCAAATTCTAAAAATACACATGGAACTTAGGGCTTTTCTGAAAGAGTTCTATGGTAGTTGAAAGTGTTATTTTACAATAGTTTTGCAGTTACGTAGAGCTTTAGAGTAATGAGTTAATCTGTTATCTCAAAGTGCTCACGGTCTCCGTATATTTACCCATACATTTTTGAGGGGATAACCACTCCTCAGAAACTCTATACAGGGTTGCTATGAGTTGAACCCACTAGACGACACTTAGCAACAACAAAACAACGTATTATATGCAAGGCACTTTACTAAGTGTGGTTTATTTCCTTCCTTCTCAATGTAACTAATTAATTAAAAAATTAAATGGTTTGGATTATTTAATAATACTCCTTCTTCTCCTAATCAGCTTGTGTGGTTTTCAGAGAACCAACTTATCTTTCAACAAACAATAGCTAGTAAATTTGTGAATATTTTACAAGTCCAAGTGGGTAGTTACACATAAAATGCCTTTCAGACATTCTAAAAAAGAAAATAAGAAATTAAAAAAAGTTGAAGTGAAAATTCACTTTTCAATTAGAGCTATTTCTTTTAAAAACAGTAGAGCCATCAGGGAGAAGTAGAAGGAATTTGCTACACAAAACAAAACAAAACAACCCAAAAAACAGATAGGCTTTAATGGGAATATACTCCTCGGTAGGCCATATTTCCCTCAAGCTTGCTGTCATGTGTCTACTTCCATGCAAACATTTACCCTGGGATAATGATCAGCCCCCACAAAATGATTCATACATGTTCACGCTGTGCAAATGTCAACCCTCTGACAATTCCCTTAATGAGAAAATTCTAGGGATTTCCATCCTTAGTAATTACATGACTTAAAATATCTAAGCTGAGTCACTGGGCTAATATATTTGATATCATCTACAGCAAATACTTTGAACTCCTACAGTGAAAGGACTTAATTTGCGAGGACAAATAGATGGTCCACATTCCCGGAGGTTTTCTGTTGCTGCTGCTTCACTTTTGCCTATTGGTTTGTTTTAATTATTATGTATTTGTGAAGCAGGTAGGTCTAGTTCTAAACCAAAACCAAACCCACTGCCACTGGGTCAATACTGACTCACAGTCATCTTACAGGACAGTGTAGAACTGCCCCAGAAAGTTTCCAAGGCAGTACATCTTTATGGAAGCAGACTGTCACAGTTTTCTGAACCACTGGTGGGTTGGATCGGCCAACCTTTGGGCTAACAACTGAATAGTTCAGCTACTGTTCATCTGGTCTGGGTATTTATATCTGCAAAGAAAATTATTGTAGGAGGGCATGCTCGCTAATATGGTGACAGTATATTTCAGTGAAACAACTCACACAGACTATTCCCTAAGAATTTCACATGACTCTAGCAAAAATGAAAGGATTTTGAAGGCATTTTCAAAATCAATATGCATTAAATGCTTCTATGCTCTAGACACTGTACTAGGTGCTAGGGATTTAATACTGCCCAAATTTGTCAAAGTTTTTGTTTCTGGATACTTTATTTTGTCATGGAAGATGATGGAACCTTCTAAATGCTCAAACAAACCTTCATTGATGTCTTTACAAAATGAAATTACCTTGGAGATTTACCAACAAGCACAATTACAGCGCTGATATGCCAGAACAGAGGCATAAATTAGCATCTGAAATCCACAATTTGATAGTAAATAAAATTCTTTGTTGGCAAATCTAAGATCATTTGTAAACCACCCACCATATTGTCCTCATACCCCCTGTTCTGGTCATTAGAACAGTGTTCTAGTTTTGAACACATGCTAAGTTCTCAAAATGCTTTCCAACTTGTCCACTAGCTGAGGTCTCCTAAGGATCTGAGTAACCTAACATATATGCTAGAGAACATTCACAATCCTAAAGAAAAATGAGAAATGACTCACCATTCTGAGCATAGCCACTTTCTCCAGAAACGGCATGAAGTAAACAGAAAGCCATACCAATAGCTGTACCTAGAATTATCATTTTTACAGAGAGTGAGAAGAGTGAGCAAGCTATGAGTCTAAATGTGCAAATGAATGAGAGCGAGAGATACTTATATCTATAGCTTTGTACTAACTTAACCACAGCCAGGGGGAAGTATAAACACAGCAGAAAAGAAGGCGAGTACCAGAAACAGGAAGTCTAAGTAAACATATTGCTGGTGTGAGCAGAGGTAGAGGAAATCAGGGATAGTGAGCTTGTAAAATTATTATAAAAATAAATCAGTTGCCATTGACCCCCAACTCATGGTGATTCCATGAGTGACAGAACCCCCATCAGTTGACCCCCAACTCATGGTGATTCCATGAGTGACAGAACAGAACTGTGTTCCATAGGGTTTTTAATAGCTGATAGTTCAGAAGTAGATTGCCAGGTCTTTCTTCCAAGGCACCTCTGAATATAGTTGAGCCTTTAACCTTTCATTAGCAGCTAAGCATGTTAACCATCAGCACCACTCAAAACAAAAAAACAAACCAGTTGTTGTATACTCGATGTATTACTCAAGGCAACCCAAGTGTGTTAGAGTAGAACTGTGGTCAATGGTTGTGACCTTCTGGAAGTAGATTGTTAGATCTTTCCTCCAAGGCGCCCTGGTTGAATTTGAACAGCCAACTTTTCAGTTCATAGCCAAGCACTTAACTGTTGCACCACTCAGAAACACCCCCAATACAAATTCACTGTCATGGAGTCAAGTCTGATAATTAGCAGCCCTATGTAGGGTTTTCAAGGCTGTAAATTTTAAGGGAGCACACAACCTCATATTTCTCCCATGGAGCAGCTGGTGTGTTTGAACAGTCAATCTTGTGATTTGCAGTCCAGTGCTTATCCTACAACACCATCAGGCTCCTTAAGGGGCTCCCAGGAAATTGTAATTATTATACTCCTTGGTATTTCTTGAAGTCCTCAAAATGACTGGATTGATTTCAGAATAAAGTAGTGGATTCAGATCTAGCCTCAAGCTACCTCAGGCTGGAAACAGGATCCACTTTAAAAGAATCACAAGACAAAAATCTAAACTTACAAAGCTAATCAGTTTATAGGTAGATGAGTTTTGTTTATAGAAAGATTCTGCATATTATGAAGTAATTAATTGCAGATCTATTTTACATAACTTCCCTTCACATCTGAACATACACAAAAACCCAATTCAACTCAATGCTGTAGAGTTGATTTCAACTCATAACAACTCTGTAGAACAGAGGAAGAGAGTAAAGCTGCATTTAGGGTGTCAAAACTATACCCTTATGGAAGCCGACTACCATGTCTTTCCCTTATGGAGCAGCTGGTGGGCTCAAACTGTCAATCTTTTGGTTAGAAGCCAACCATTGTGCCACTAGTGCTTGGAACAAACACTAGAGAAGTTCATACAAACAGTAATTTTTTTCTGTATATTTTAATACTTATATCTCATTTATCATCATCATTAGGTACCATTAAGTCAGTTCCAACTCATACTGACCCTATGCACAACAGATTGAAACGCTATGCAGCCCTGTACCATTCTCACAATACTTGTTTCAGCCTGTTGTTTAAGTTCAATGTTTAAGTCCACTGATACTGCCACTGTGCCAATACATCTTGTTGGGGCCTTCATCTTTTTCGCAGACCCTCCATTTTTTCCAAGCATGGTGTCCTTTTCCATAGAGTGGCCCTTCCTGATAATATGTTCAAAGTACAAGAGATGAAGTCTCAACATCCTTACTTTCTAAAGAACATTCTGGCTGTACTTCTTCCAAGACTGATTCTTCTGGCAATCCATGAAACTTTCCAATATTCTTTTTCAACACCATAATTCAAATGGATTGATTTCCTCCATGGTCTTCCTTATTCATTGCCCAACTTTCACATGGGTATAAGGCAATTGAAAATACCATAGCTTGGGTCAAATGCACCTTAGTTCTCAAATTAACATTTTTGCTCTTGAAGGTTTGAAAGAGGTCTTTTGCAGCAGATTTGTCTAATGCAATACATAATTTGCTGCATCCATGAGTACTGATTGTGAATTCAAGCAAACTGAAATCTTTGACAACATCAATCTTTTTTCCATTTATGATGATGCTATTTATTGGTCCAGTTGTGAGGATTTTTGTTTTCTTTATATTGAGGAGGCTTCTACTCATTTGTTGTTGTTATATGCCGTGGAGTCGGTTCCGACTCATAGCGACCCTAAAAAGGGTTTCTGAGGCTGTAAATCTTTACAGGAGCAGAAAGCCTCATCTTTCTCCCATGGAACAGCTGGTAGTTTCGAACTGCTGACCTTGTGGTTTGCAGCCCGATTTGTAACCACTATGCTACCAGAGCTCCTATCCATAGTATGCATTTAATGGTTATTTAAGACTGGATTGGCTAAAGCTGGCTCATAGCCTACTTGTTTTTTGAATGAAGTTTTATTGAAAGACAGTCATGCCTATTCATTTGTATGTAGTGCGTGGCTGCTGTAGTCCTGCAAACAGCAGAGTTGAGTAGCTGACACAGAGACAGTATAGTTTGCAAAGCCAAAAACCATTGCTACCTTTGCTGGGCCTTCTGCTGATTCCTAATTCAATGGCTTAAATAGTGACTTTCTCAGTGCATTTTATAGGATTCTGTTTGTGAGCATCTTATTGCCACACAATTTTTCAGGAGCATAGGCAGAAGATTGAGACAACGTACACTTCCTACACTTGTCTACCAATTAAATTTTTTCTGAATATGACTTTATAGTGAAAGTAGTGGTGTTTGCTAAACCTGGCTGATTCCTAGAGGGTAACTAACTATTGGTTTCTTTTTTTTTTTAAGCCATATTCAGTGTTCAGAGCAAAGGTCAGTAGCAATCTTGCCATCAACAAATAGACAACACCTTTTGTAAGACTTCACTCTGCTCTGTCCTTCAAATGACTAATCAAATCTGGACTCGGGCCATGATGCAGCACCCTCTCTTTTGGAAAGAAACTGTATGACTACAATGATAAGGTGATGAATACGGAGAAAATGAGTGGACAGTGAATGACAGACCTTGATTTGGTACACTGTCAATGGTTACGATCGACTATCTGGGCCTGTAAAAACAACTAAGTGAACAGAGGTAAAGAGCATCCTCCAGGGAGTAGAACCAAGACAGACTGTGTTAGAAAGCTGTATGAGCTGGCTTGGTTCGTCATTGTTGTTACTGTGACAATTTAATGAAATGAGAAAAGAGGAGGTGGAAGCATTTGTACCGGTTTCTGGAAGTTCCTCTTTAGTATTAAGGCAGACTCAGAGAGAGGTAATGAGATTAGAAGCCCCATTATAAACCCAGTTCAACAGGACGTGTTTTATCTCCTCCAACTTCCAGGGACTTTTCTTGGCATTTAACAAGACTTACAAACCAGAAGCAAAGTGATAATATTGTATGTCAGATAATAATTTGTGTTCTCATTTCTAATCTTGTTTTGAAAGCTTGGTTAGAAAAGTCATATGCCTGATTCACAAAAATTGGTATGTTTTGCTCATTGAGCTGAAAATTCTTTAAAAAAAAACCCCAAAAAAGCTATTATTATAAATTCTCATGAACCAGGTAAGTGTTCAAAGAGAAATTACAAATTATATCTGTCCACCAACACAAATCTCATGAAGGGTTTACAGATTTGTCATTCAGTGGGCATGTAATTGGGTCATGTCTCTTTAAATTTTCTTGTTTATCATTTAAGTGGACTATCATTTTGATTGTATCTCTTTCCTTTAGTTGTGAAGATGTAAAAGAACAAAGAAAAAACACAATATTTTGGTACAGCATGTGCTAGTTTGTTCAGGGGATTTCCACTGGTGCACTAACTCTTTTTGGGTGGGGTCAGGAGAGGCCGAAGGACCTCAGAGAGAAACCTAAACAAAGTGAGGGGAGCTCATAAACCTGAGAAATCTCACTTGTCTTTCTAAAGATAAACTCAATCTCAAACTCACTGTCATTGAATCGATTTCGATCCTTTACAGGAGCAGACAGCCAGATCTTACAGTTAACAGTCCACTGCTTATCCTATATGGTACCATATCTATTTATTCACAAAGGTCTTATTGGTCCTTAGAAAACAAAGAAAAATTGAGGTTCTTTGTTCAACAAATTCCCCAAATAGCAGACAATGACAAATTGCTTTGCCATTCGTATCTATGAGAGAAGTAAAGGGAGAGGACAAGCACATCATGAAAGATTTCTCAGAGGATATGAGCCTTTACCTAATAAATAAGCTGCAATCCAGCTATTAGACTCTGGACAAAGCGAGGCCTTTGGTGTAGCAGCTTGATTGGAGCATCTGCTGTTTCTTCTCCTTTTCTCTTCTCTTGGCATTTCCGCTCATCTCCACTTTCTCTTTTATGTGTTGCATTCCTTTATTTTCATGAATTCCTCTGATGGGGTGAGTCATTAAAAAGAGAAGGCATTTTATTACTTCTCATACATAAGCAGAACATGTTATGTGTCCGTAAGTCAATTCTGACTCATAGACACTATATGAGAGTAGATTGGCCATACAGAATTTCAATGTGCTGGACTGCAAGGTCAGTTTGAACAGCAAGGGCAGTGGTTCAAGCACACCAGCCGCTTCTCGGAAACCCTATACAGGGTTGCTATGAGTCGGAGTCGACTCAACTTAACAAAAACAACAATCATTATGGAAACAGATCATCACATCTTTTCTCACATGAATCTGTTTGTAGGTTCGAACTTTCCAACCTTTCAGTTAACAGCTGAAAGGTGATGCTTAACTATTGTACCATGATGCCCCCTCTGCCAATACCAGTTCATCATCACTCTCTTTCCTTTATCCTTTTGTAAATCACTCAAGTCATCTGTCAAATAGAAACATCACATAGAAAATATTCTTTTAGTCTCATACTGTAATAGGCTATATGCCTTTTATATATTACTTATAGTGTCTAAAATAATTCAAATGGCTGACCTTTTAACTAGATTTGAGATCCTGGAATGTTGGAGTTGGAGAGTGTGTGCATATCTCATTTGGTTGTGTTTG